TCTTTACTATAGATCTAAAATAAGTGTGAACAAGAATTATAAAAACAGCATTGCTGAGCCTCAATCCCAATGACTCAGTCTGCATGCTGCTGGGTGGAGGGAAAAGAGACTGTACCGTGTTCTATGAGTGACCCAGAAACTGACAAACAATCCAGCTAGATCCCTCCCCAAATGATTAAGAAACATAAAAGCAAGTTACGAATAAGCATAATGGAGGACATTGATACATGCATACCATGTCCTTGATAAACTTTTGTGGGGCAAGGAAGTGGAATGGGCATAGAAAGATCTACAAGACATTCATGAATCAAGTCATGCAGAAAAGGGGTCCAAGACCAATGAGCTGTAGGTGGTGATTCGTACTGGACTTGAAGTGCATGTAGCATGTACATTAAGTTGGAATAAATGTTGAATAAAGAAGACAGAAGATACCCTGCCACCATGGCAATGGATAGTGGTGAATGATATGGGGGGGGGGGCAATCAACACTTCTGCTTTCAGCAACAAATGTACATGGAACAGGAAGTTCTGAGCTGGGGCATTATCTTTGGAGCTGCTAAACACAATAAACATCTGCTATCAAGTTGCTAGCCAAAATGAACTAAAATGAAATGTACACTGTACATTTGGTTACCAGCTGATATTTCACATATTAATTTGCTCAGCAAGTGCTGTTTCCTGCTTAAGAGCTCCATGACACTGGAGCCACATGTTATCAAGCAAGCCCTTCACTATGATTACTCTTCTTAACTGTCACATGATTTGTAATGATTTGTTTTTGATCTTGGGGCCTGTTTGTTTTATCAGATCCGGATCTTGATCAGTGACCCCAACTCTTGTTTGTTTCATCCATCAGGTGAATTGTGGTATCAGTGAACCATGTCGGACCACTGACCACAATCCGGATCAGGGCAAAACAAATAGTCCCTTATTCTTTCTTTCAACAAACTTCTGCTTCATTTCCACCAATACTCCCAATACTAAGACTTGAGATCAAACTTTGACCATTTGGTTTCATGCAGTTTCAAACACCAAAGGCAGTTTTTAGGACCAGGGCCAGATTAGTAATTCTGCTTACTGAAAGTAAATTTACATAAAGGGTATTTCACAAGTTACCAAGAAATCTAACACACACGTACACACATGCATTAATCCTTCATTAATACGGACTTGTTATAGGACTGAACACAATATTTCAGTGAGGTTGTGTCAGATAAGAATTGCAGTATAATAAGTACAGCCACAAACCAAACACTAGCTCTGTCCATTTTCCTTATCATATTACATGTAAAGGCCCGTTCCCAAGGGAGGAAAGGCCTGACGGGGCGAGGCCCCACAGGCACGCAGCTGTCCCCTTTGGCAGAATCCGTAACAAAATTATCTATTGTTCTTGTAATGGGTCTCCTGCTCCAAGCTGACAATTGGGCTGTACATGTAGCATTTGCAAAATAAAGAAAAAGATTACCATGAGAAAAAGCAGTTAAAATGTTGATTTCTTAAATTTCTGTCCCTTTGTTGGTCATTCTGGAGACAGTGGATACTGCTTTGAAAATCAATACTGTCACCATTGTGTATTTTCTGATCACTCTGAGGCAAAAGCAATGGAAATTTCCCATTATTT